TTGCTGACTCTCAGCCTACCCGAGGTCATAGCAAAAATTCTTCAAGTCCCGTCCGAGAACCACTCTACGTACCTCATTTTTTACCTTCGGGGTGATATTCTTATGGAATGCCCTTCCAGAAGAAATAGTTAGCGTTCCCAGCGAGGCGGTCTTCAAACTTCGTCTTGACCGCCACTTCGGTTTATCTAGTCACTCCCAATGAAAGAAAAGAAACAATTTGAATAACATGAGCGTTAGCAGGTCTTCATTTTATTTCTCGCCTCGAGCGGGGAACCCTACTAATGCCTTTTCAGTACCCTCTGTTCTAGAAGAAGTTCGAACTAAAAGAAAACACAGATATCTTTCAAAGAACCGGGACATTTCGGCAACCGCCTCGAATCCGTGAATTACTTCAAGACTTCAAGACAACTGCCTTCGGTTCAATCCTTCGAACTGGCCCTGGATCGAAGGTGGGACAAAGTCGCTTCTGGGTTGAGCACTGATTTAGCTCTTCCAGTAGGGCACCTGTTGAACGCTCACGTACCTTAGCGCCTGTCGCCGAACACGTGAGCCTGACGGAGAACTGGAGGATTAGTTGATATAGTGCTGGATGCCGGACCTGTGCATACCACTAAAAGAACTCTGGACGGTCGATTGGTCTTGGTCCATTCCTGTTCTATACGAAGTGAGCTGAAGTGAACTGAACTGATTTTTTGTTTAACTGCGCCAAAATCGTATGTATATTGCACTTCTGGTTACAGTGCTAATTCAATATGACAAAAGATAAATTTACATTCTTCGTTGTGATCACATTGCGTGTAACAATAACCTAGAGCGTTATTCATCGAGAGGAATGTATTTTTCATCAGACTCTACATTTTTTGTGCTCGAAATATTTTAATAACCCAAACATATCATGAAGGGTTGTCTACAAAAAATTGCAATTAAGTTGGGTCTCAGGCGTCCTCCTTTACCTCCTCAAAGACATATTCCTATTGGCCCTGTATCAAAAAAAAGTTTCATCTCTCCTGAATATTCACTGAAGAAACTTTATGGAGATAATGAGATAACAACATCGAGGTATACTTGGTACGGGTTCGTATTTCAAAATCTTGGAGAGCAAGCACAAAGAATAGCGAACTTCTACTTCATATGTATTGCTGTAGTTCAATTGTTCACAGATTCCCCTGTAACCCCTGCAATTTCTATAATACCATTGGTTTTTGTGCTTGGAGTGACGATGATAAAACAAGGTTATGAAGATTGGCTGAGACACAAAGCAGATCGTGAAGTCAACCATGTAAAAGTAGAAGTAGTGACAGAAGACGGTCGATTACAGACGATTAAGGCGCAGGCAATTACCGTGGGTGATATAGTGCTTTGCCGTTCCAACGATACATTTCCTTGTGATTTGCTTCTCCTCAGTTCCAGCGAACCCAATGGAGAGTGTTTTGTCACCACAGCAAGTTTGGATGGCGAAACAAATCTTAAGAGATTTGTGGCCAGCGAATATACGAAGGTTTTTGATAGTCCTGATGTGATAGCCAGTGAACTCCGTGGAACACTAACATGTCAACAGCCTGTAAATGATTTATACTCTTTCAATGGTAGAGTTAATCTTGAATCGACTCAAGGTGAACCAGAAGTATTCCCTGTTGGACCAGAAAATCTCTTGCTCCGCGGGGCCTGTCTACGCAACACTGATTTCGTCTATGCCTGTGCTGTCTATACGGGTCAAGATACAAAAATGACTCTGAATTCAAAAGGAAAAAAGACCAAGTTTTCTCAAGTCGAACGAAAGTTGAACCTTTGCTTGGCATTGATTTTGTGTTTTCTACTCCTGTGTGCACTGCTGTCTACCATTCTATACTTTACGCAAGCACAAAAGGACTCTTGGTATACACCACCACAAAACGTATCCGCGTGGATTGTTGTGCAAACGTTCCTTGGTTTCATCGTGCTATACAATTACATCATTCCAATATCACTCTATGTCACCATTGAAATTCAAAAGTTCTTTGGATCTCTATTTTTCGAATGGGATATAACTCTGTATGATTCAAACATTAATGAAAGAGCAAAGGCGAACACTTCAGACCTAATCGAAGAAATGGGTCAAGTGAGTTTTCTATTGTTTTAATTGAACATGTAAATGGTCATCTATCCATCTATAAAGGTTGATATAATGTAATAAGTGAAGACTATTTTGCCACATTCTTTGCAAGGTATATGCGGTTAACCAAATCTGATCTTAGTTTCACGAAATAATTTTGATTTATGAGATAATTTAGAGCCGTTCAACAAGTTTTATAAATAGTGACTAATATCTCATACGTCTACTGTGATTATAAATTTCACGTTTGTTTGACACGGAACACTTGTTTATTACCCTATCCCAAGATGTTCCCTATATCAGAAACAACTTCGCATCCTGATACGACCGTGTTATGTAGTTTTATAAAAATGACCATCATTAGGCTTTTACAGTTTAAGAGTTTTCAACGGTCGGAACCGGTAAGAATCAAGGCAACACCATATTGAACAATAAGTTAACTGGGAAGTTAGATCAATTTTGATACGTGCGTAGCTGCATTTCGTCTTGTGATCGCGAATCCTAGTTGTTGAGTTGTTTCTGAATATTTTATTTCACGGAGATAGTAGTTGTTTGAAAAAATCATTTCTTGATAAATTTACCCAAACGTTTTCTGCTTTATGAAACGGGTAACTCTAAAATTTGATATTTATTATGCCCGGAATAATAATGTAAGACTCCCAATAAACTGCCTTCATAACTATAATAGAGATAAATGTTCTTCAGTCCGACATTTTCAACTTAAATGTCTTTGAGCACCCCAGTAGCTAATTGACACATTAGAAGAAAACATAAAATTCACATAGATCAGATATTCGCTTTTTTCCGGTAAACAGTCATCTAATTATTGGGAAACTTTCACGTTATCTCCCAGAAGAAATGCACGTATATGGTGCAGATATTGTTTTTGAAAGCTGTTGTGTAGTCGATGAAGAGGGTCTGAGAGCATTTTTCAAATAAAAGTTTTGCATGCATTATTGTATCTACTAATTCAAGCATCTCATTAAATGATGTTGTTTGGAGGCGCCTTTTAGGGATCTCACCAGTGATTAAGCATTTATTTTAATAGACCTGGGATAATAACGTAGTAGGAGTACAAGCAGTGAGGGAAAAGTCAAGAACTCGAATTTAGCAATTTATTTGTGAAAACAAAAAGTAATATTTTCCGGAGTGATAAATAATTGGTACTTTTAACTTAGTAAGATACATATTACATGCGCATGGGCTAGAATAAGTTATGTGCTAAGGTAATACTTCACCATTGTTAATGTTGGCACAAGGTTGTAGTATATCTGGTTATACGGAGAATTCGGGACAAATCCGATCATTGCTTCTAAATCCCTTTCCCCCAGGATCCATTTGACGCTCGGGTAGAATTATATGGTAAATAATGTCTAAAATGAACCTTATCTTTCCGCGCGTAAACTGCAGTCCAGTGTGTGATACTGTCATACAACCTGCATTTAGCATTCATCTTTTGTACCTCATGACTTACCCCATCAACAGGAGCAATAATGGCGACCGCGCATCTGCTTATTTGTATTTAGTTCTATTTCATTTTCAGGTGGTAACTCTTTCTTAATAAAACTCTCAGATTTCGAGCACTTTCAATTAGTCTTTCTCTACTTAATGATATCACATAGTAGCAAAAACATGACAATCAAAATCCACTGCACAAAACTGCATAGTTTTTGTCAAACCAACCTGAACTAAAGTGCATGATTTACTACCAAAACTGAAAGCTTTAACATTGCATGGTGATTGGTCAAACGGCAGTGAGTATACTAAATAAGTTACCTAATCGTAAATTGGACAGTATACTTTAATTATATCTGGGGGTTCCTAAGTTTAACCCTCAGTTGCGTCTGTGAAATTACACTGCTAATAAGATCCAACTAAGTTAAAAGAGTTGTATAGTGTTTTCTATCTTTTCACTTCAAACGTCTGTTACCCCGTGTACGAAAAAAAATCACCAAAAAATTGTAGCAAATTCTTCACTGCACTCATAAAACATAAAAAGATAGACGACATCTCCGGTTTCTAGTTTGACACCCAAAACTTTTAGCGTTATGGTTGGAAAATATGTGAACCGCAAAATATGATGGATAGAAGATCATGGAAAATCTAGTGACTTCATCAACTGGCTCTGCGCATGCATCTTTATCATTTTTACCATCGTCATTGTACAACAAAATACAGTGAAACAAACTTTGCTGATCACCATCAAGCTCAGGCAGCGATGATCAAGCGATTTAGCGTATTGTTCTAGCTACCCAAAGACCGTCAGTTACAATTTCACTATTGCTGCCTACTTGCATTTTCTCTATATATCCCCAGACAGTCTTTCTTGAGAGTTGACTGTATTCAGAAAACAAAAAGGCAGTAAAAGGTGTTTATTATTGGTAAATAAGCTCAAAATATATGCGAAGAAACTAGGAGTGCTTAAGATAATTGGGGAATGAGCCTATTTGAGGGAGGCGGACACAAAGTATACCATCTAACCTTGCACACACGTCTTTTAAGGCATTCTGACCTGATTGGATACAACGATAATAGCGCAATTGCTTTCAGGCTAATACTATATACTTCAGTGTCTTCAGCCAACCCACGATGGATTCTTTTTGTATTCCAACCCGGAAAATCATAGACTCTTAGTTACATCTACTTCAATCTTCTTTCATGTCATCTGTTGGCTTCCGCGTAAGGGATGTGGCAGACGACAGCTTGTCCGGCGCAAAACTTGACCTAACCAGTAAAACTGACTCATCCAAACTCAATGTGATAACGAATTTTCCATCTACACATTTGCCAATAGACGATGGATTACCTCCTCATTGGTAATCTGAAACATTTCTATTTCAAAATCAAAGGTGATATAGTACTGCAGCTCGAGCAATGTGAATGAGTAGGGCTAACTCCTATGGTTTTACCGCCATTACTGAACTTTATTTCTAGACACGAAATGCAACCTATCATAGAGTATTGCTAAGCATCAAGCTTTAAAGCAAGGGTAGACAATGCCCGATCTTGCAGCACCACTTTGCATCTCTGAAGGTGCAACGTACAACCGAAATCAACCACATATATCAGGTGCATCATTCGCGCCATTCTCTGTACATTTGCATACAATGACAAGATCAACAAGTTAATAAAAATCTTCAGCCGTCCATTCAACACTGAAAATTTGGAGCCCATTGTTCAATGTTTCCTCCAGGATGGGATTGAAAGGGAAGGTCCGAGCAGGGTGAACACCATTGTTGACGACGAATGAGCCAATTAGTAATCTATAGTTCCTCACTAAATCAGAAATATGCACGCTCCCTTTAGGTAAAACAACCACTGTGATGGTTGGTCGACGATGTGCGGCGTAATACGAGCACTTGACACAACGCATGTGAATTTCAACCTGCCAATGGTACTATTCGCAAGTTGATTTTTGTACTTGTTTGATCAGATATATTGAAATGACTAGTCAGAGGCTGAATACTCACCATTCAAAGTGAATGAAAAGACTTGGTTTGGATTCGACTTTGGCCTTACTGGAATTCGCTCTGTTGTTCATGGATATTCGACTCGCCTGAAGGCCTCATCCAATGAAGTACGACGAAAATTGGTCGAGCGGGTAGCGTGATTGCGTTCTGCCCATAAGGTCCCGGGTTCGATCCCAAGTTGGGTCGATGGATTCGTATTGCTGATGAGGCCCGACCAGGTCAGAACAGCTATTCAGTGCTTTCTAGGTTTTCAGTTCACGCTTCATTTGATATTTGCACGACGAATTTCCCCTTCGAAACTGAGAAACTGCTGAATTTTAACTAATTCCAATTCCACACAGAACTGAACGGTGACTTGCCCTATGTTAACGGGCTACGTTCCTCGAACCATAAGTGATATGCCAAAACAGTAAGATCACTTACTTGAGGCATTTCTAATATTGAAAGGTCGGTGAGAAGCTCGTAAGATTCGACTGTTGTTTTTATCCTTTTTGTGCTTCACAAACAGTTTCACTAAAGCCTCATATGATACCACTCCAATTTAACTTCATCTGTAACCGCCCGCCTAGTCCGGTTAGCACCAGACAGACTGAATTGCTTTTATGAATTTGATAGAATTTTGGTGATAGCGAACTAAATGATCTCATAATCACAAACATTGACAAAAATGGGAAATTGTAGTGTTTTAGCTTCTCGATGAAAGTCAATACCATGACAGAATTTCATGTTCTTTTTCATTACCGTAGTTCATGTAGTTTCAGGTATTTGAAACTCGCTATCTACCGAAAAATAAACTGACTTCTGTCATCCACATGTACCATCACAATCTGCAGACTATTACATTCTGGTCACTTGAGGGCACTCTGTGGATACACAGTTTGCAATTGGGTCAGTTGACTTGTTCTTCTTTAACCATTCAGAATGCGTACTCGAATAAGATTAAAGTGTAGCGAAGTTGAAGGATTGTGCTGTGTACAAAGCACCAACACTCAATTCGCCTGTGTTTTTGTGAGCTCGTCGACTCATTTTTATCGTATTGATGTAATAGAATGAGGGAATCAATACGCAACCTGTGCAAAACTTTTCACCACGTTCAAATAGGCAATGAGGACAGTTCACTGTTATGACAGCACAAATTCATGGAGATTTAAAAACTATGCTTTTTTATTGTTTTTTACGTTTTGGTTGTCAAATGACTAGACAGTCCGATATATTTGACAGCGGTATCAGAATCATTGAATCGAAATTCGCGTTGCATTACATATCTGAGAGGGCATATGTGCGTGTGATCGATTGATGAATGATGTTAGCTCTACTTTTGTCAAATCTGACGATCGCAGAGATTTGTGATCTGGCTTCAAGGTCATAAACCACAATGAAAATTTCGTGACTCAAATAAGAAAACATCATCTCCGTTCAGGTCAATTAAATTTAGACTGTACGAGCGGATCGATGTGTCATCAGATAATTGACACAATCAGCTGATTGCGAATTTCTACGGCGTGGTTCAATGCGGAGAGTAAATGTTTTTGGTTTGTCGCCTGTGTGATGGTGGCA